GTAAAAGATTTTCATCATTTTTTAAATTTAATTTTTATAAAAACAAACTGTTGACAGAATAGTTGAATAACGGATTTATTATCCATATCATTTTGTTTCGTTTCATCATCCGTTTTATTTGATGCGAATTATTCATTCCTATTTCATTCAAAATTAAAAAAATTTATGGCATAAATAATAAACATTAGATGTTAATTAGACAAAAAAATGCTATTACATGCCCTCAAGCATTTACAATTATTCTGCCAGCCAAATCAAAGAAAGAAATATATGACATAGAGGCCGAAAAGTGACGCAAGAAGAATTTAACAACCTGCGACAGGAAGAAAAGTGCATTTGAAGAGGTGGCCTTGGAAAGTTTGAATGATATTGGCCTGAATAAAACTTCAACTCAATAAGTCTTTAAGATTCGCTTGCCCGAAACACCATTTAGAAGGGATGTTTTTAAGATGAGAAATTACTCTAATTTCTTCCAAATTTTCAACTTCTTACAGGTGTTTTTCTCCCTAAAATGCGTTTGCAATTTGTTCCATCTGCTGCCAATCAGTAAATGATCATTTATCAAATGATTATTCATAGAAAAATGAAATCAGCAAAACAAGTAGGTACATCTTAACCATCTTAATGTAGTTTGGCATGATCATGTAATGCTTAAAGGTTTCTGAAAGTTCCAGGTAATAGTCGAACATTTACTAAATAATGATGGGTATAACTAATATCCTCATTCTCCGTAATAGAAGATAGCCGACTATATCTCAGCTACTCACTAAAAGTGGAGCAGTATCAGAATCCAGTGCAAGCGCCACAATCCCAATTTTAATGAGATGGGTGAAGGTGGGAATAAAAAAGAAAGTCAAAATTTCAATTTCTTTTTGGAAGTTATGATGAAAAACTGGAATTCTCTTGCTGCTTCTCTCACCCACCATCATTTCTTTATCTTTTCATGTTTTCTTCCTTATCCTGTCAGTTTCAATTTCTAAATAGGAGGATTCTAAATTTGAATCGCTTCTTCGTTTACAATTTCAATCTAATTCAACTAATATGAAAATCAAGGAGGAAAGATGAAAACGAGGAAGAAATTTGATGACATTTCTCTACCTTCAATTTATGTTAAGAAGTACATGTTACTTCTTTGAAATTCATTCCATATGCCCTGGGTGAATAAATTTCCACGCATGCACCAATAGAAATTTTTAATGAAACTCTTCTTCAGTACGTGTTACTAAAGAGGATAAGGCGAAAATGGAAGTAATTATTGAAGAAACAAAAGAAGTCAAATTTCCATAATTAAATTAGGAATTTCAATAAAATTCCTCTTTGTTTAACTGCTTAAATTTGGAAAAAATTTTGAGTATGATGATTAATGCAGAGACAAGTAAAAGTGAGGCGATTTTGGAGGAAAAGAAAGATCGAAATAATTTAGGATGACAACGGATTTCCTTAATTTGTCCTCATCTGTTTTATGTTTACTAAAGGTCAAATGTCTCTTAAATTGATGGTTTTAAAGAAATTTGAGAATAATTCCGAGGGTTAAATATCAAATGCTCTACGAAATATTGTCACAATACTGTTGATTCATTAATAAAAATATATGCAAAAAATTTAAAGGGAGAAAATGGAGAGAAGATGAGAAATTGGGACAACTGGATGCAAACTTTCAAAGCATCGAAAACACATTCAGTTTAATGATGATGATGGAGAGAAGAAACGAAAAGAGGAATCTAGTGGATGCGACAAGGACGACTACCCGTGATATTTTACCGCAACAGCTTTGACCTTTCATTTCCTCTTCATCTTTCAATGACTTTCTCAACAACCATAACCCCATGATCTCTCTTGTAGCTTATCATCATCTATATTCATCCAAAGTCTTCGTCATTAAATTCACTCTCATCCTCTGTTGAAAATCAAAGGGATCTTTTTTTTATTTTTATAAAGAATTGAAACCAGAGAATAGGGTTGACAATTTTTTTTGATGTCACTATAACTCATCGGTAAATTCGAAGGATAAGCATACGATTGTCGATAAGTTACTCAGTGTTACATTTTGCAATTATCATTCTAAGTTACGGAAGTCAGCAGGTTTACTTAGTTTTGTTTGCGCATATATTTTGTTCATGGAACAGTAACAAGGATTCACTATTAAAAAATTGGAAAAAGAAATGAAGTGAAGACAAAGAACGGAAAATCAAAGATCAGACTAAATTATCACAATATCAGATACGATTACTTATACCATTGGGGCGGTGTGCTACTCCAATATGTTAATGCCGCGGCCTTGGGATGCATCGCGGCGATGTGAGTAAGGAAAAAGATATTCCAGTTTTTTATAATTGCTTAAGAGAATGACATCCAGTTCTGAATATAATTCGAATTATCACAAAAATAATTAATAAAATGTCGAAATCCGTCTACAAAAAGGAGTTTCCACCAATCAGAAAATGGCAAGCAATTACTGAATTACTGATGGTTTTTGATGGCTGTTATACAATTTACAGATTAATCATCAGATAGACAACTTTTTTCTGAAATATAATAACTGAAATTTGATCGCCTATAATAAGCTTATAATAACTTGCACAAGAGGATTACAGATTTCTAAAAAAATTTGAAAGGAAAGAAGCTGAAGTGATTCTTTGTTTCTAAAATAATAACTTTACAGAAATGTATAAATTTAACATTCGAAGACATCACTTTTCTGATACAATCAGACTTAAAGTAAAGCTATTTATCAGTAATCAATAAAAGTATCTTTTTAAACTCGAATTTGTCACTATCTGCAATAATTCCTAACTTTAAACTTTCTTGTTTTTTTCTCGTTAAATGGTTTAAATTTGTCGAAGCAATAAGAGGAAAAAATTTTTCTACTCAGTTGTTGTGATTTAAACTATTTGAATATTTCTTTAATTATAAAGCTTTTTAAAAGCAGACTGCTAAAGTGAAATGATTAACTAATCAATTGAAAATCAACCAAAATTGATTGCATGCTGAGATAGTTGTCAAATCTTCGTCTAAACTTAACCTCTTCCAGTCCTGTTCTCTTAGGCTTCTCTCCACAGCACAACGATTCTTGTTTGTTGTCGGTGGTTAAAGCTTTCCAGCAAAATTTATTTTCATTAAGATGACGACTTGTCCATTTCTTGTTTCGTTCTAACTCGCTTAATAGAATCTAATAAGACTAAAATTTTCACCGAAAAACACAGCAATCATGGAGTTCCCACTTCAGCACGAGAATCACATCAATTTAATGAATATACTATACGAACGCTCAGGTTTGTAAGAAAGATAGAAATAAATGATTTTGCAGGAACAGAGTGGACACATTATGAGATGACGAGACCTTTAGAAAATATCAACAGAAGGTCTGCTGGGCAGGTCAATAACCTTCCCCCGCACTTTCATTAGCAGCAAAAAGAGTAACATATATGACAAAATAATAACGGTTAGGTATGATTGCATTTTTTCATTCGTTTTAAAAATTCGATCGGATTGAATTGGAATGATTTTCTTCCTTGCAATATTTATTCATTTTCCAATTTGATTTATTGCTTACAATTGAGAGAAAAAAGGTATTCATCGTTGTTGTATACATCATACATCAAATATTTCCGCAAAATTTTTAATTTGCCCAAAAATACAAATGAATTTCATTTATTTCTGCAACTAATATGAGAGAAGAAAGTTAATAACTACCGAAACCGAAACGGATGAAGTTAAAAAGCTGAATTTTGGGAGATAATAATTAAAATTCCCCGATTAGCTGAAAAACAATTTTATTGTTTTCACTCAGAAATTTCGCCACCAATAACTTAATGAACCAAAAATGCTAAAACCTTCCTCGCATAGATAAAGAACCGAAATGTCACATCAATGTAGAGCACATTTTAATCATTCATTCATTCAATTTTGCTTCTTTATGAGGCGACTTCAATTCACAATCCCCATCACAGAACACCGTAACAAGGTGTAGAGAAGAAAAACCCTGAATGATTCTTCCTTAATCGCTTAATCATTTCATGCGTGTCAGTGTTAAAGAAGCCAAAGAGTAGAACTGCTCCAATTCAGCGGAATTGAACTGATAACTAAATGAGTGAAGCATTTTACATATCATTCTTACCACTGTTAATGGATAGAAGTAATTGAATCACTCTCTACACGTGTGAAATCCTGTACATCTAAGGAAGAACAACAGAGGAGTGGCGTAGTTTTAGCAAAAGTGATCAACTCAAAAGTGATGCACAAAAATCTGAGAACTCGTGAATCATACTGGCGAATGGGTCCAATAGCTCATATATAATCTGAGAACTATTGGGAATCAGATGATTATGTCTTAGATCCGTTGTTGTGAGAAAAAAGAAAATGCAAAAGTTTATTTCAAATGGAAGAAATTCAAAGAAGAATTAATTTCAGCTTGATAATGCTCTTTTTTCGACGAAAATGAATATTTGATGATAATTGTTCTTTTACGGTAATTTATTTTTGGTCATTTTTTTGTCTCCCGTTAGCAAACAATTATTAAATTTTTAGCAATGCTTTGACCATCCTTTAAAAATGACATCAATGCCATACGTCAGCTGCGCAATATGAGATATTTACTTGAACAGAACAACCCTAGTAACAACTAAAACTAGCGGAACGACCATGCACTCTCCCCGACAACACCACAATACTTGTGCGTTTTAGTTGTCGCAAATTAAGCTGAAACCTGCTGCAAGGAAGTAGTGGAGACGTTTCCCGTGTGCCTCGTGATTCCAGTTATATCGATTCTACGTTCGTTTATTATGTGAATAATGGGCAAATATGAAAAAGGAACACCAAAGGAAATTGCCAATCGATGCAAATCAAAAGGCCTACAAAAATTGAGATGGTATGAGAGTGATATATTCACATTATTTAATTGGATTTTGGTTTATGTGTTTGTATTATTTCAGGTTTTGTCAGATGTGTAAGAAACAATGTCGCGACCAGAATGGCTTCAAATGTCATTTAACAAGTGAAACTCACCAGCGACAGTTATTATTGTTTGCGGAAGATTCAGACACATATCTGAAGGAATACAGCGAAGAATTTGAAAATAATTTCTTGAAGGTAATATCTTACTACTGTTCTTTGCTGGTACGTAGATTTTTCTTCAATTTTTGATTTACTGGAAAGTTTTTTATATTTATTTGATCATTTCTTTCATTCTTCTGTCTCACTTGTCTGATGCTGCACAAATACACTCTTCTCCTACATAAAATATACTGTTCTCTGTGAACTAAATCCGTTATGTCATCTTTTATTGGTTAACCAACCTGTGTTTAATTTTGTCCTCTCGATTTAAGTTGAAACTTCTAGCACCATGTCTTTATTATTATTGACACTGCTGAACCATATTATAATTATTAAAAATTTCTGTTCTTCCATCATTGTTGCAATTATGAGTCTAGTTTATCTGTAGTTATTATCGGGCTTCAGGAATATGGCACCTGCCTAGATGTGCAGCTTGGCTCAGTAACAGAGAAAAAGGATGTAAGGGAGAGAAAAAAGAAAAAGTTATCGATATATCTCTTGCAGGTATTACGAAGTACTTTTGGTACGAAACGTGTTCGCGCCAACGAAGTTTATCAGGAATACATTCGTGATAAAATGCATACGCATATGAATTCAACAAAGTGGCATACTTTAACCAATTTTGTTATTTATCTTGGAAAATCCGGCAAATGTCACGTTGATCAAACGGAAAAAGATTAGTGCTTGTTCTTCTGTATGGTTCACTTTTTTACGCATTGAATGTTTATGCATTCTTTCTTTTACCAGGATTTTTTAGTTCTTCACTCTTTATCTAATTTATGCAGTTCTTTTTCAGAACAAGAGGCATCTTTCGTTGAGCAATTGTTCTTACTTTTGCAATAAACAAGAAAAAATTTATATTTATGGTCGTGTGTGGAATTTGAAATGGCATTTCACAACTTTAGTCTTATAATTGTTTTTCTCTCCTGCATCTGAAAATCTCTAAAAGCAATCTTTTAGGTTGGTTTATTGCATGGATTGATCAACAAGAAGAGCTCAGAAAACAAGAAGCATTCCATAAGGTTAAAGCAATACATGATGATGAAGAACGGTTACAGCAATTGCTGAGGGAGCAAGCAGAAAGGTATATATCCGTTACAAGATATTGCTCACCTGACTTCTGAAGTAGAATCCTGTTTTTTTTTTTCTCAGTGAATTTATAATTCATTGCAATAAATTTAAATTTGAGAACTAGAACAAAATATCAATTAGGATGGTATTTATTTCCACTCTTCTTTTACTTTTACCCAGTTATAAAAAATGAGCACCTTTTGAAGGGCTCGTGAAAAACAGCAGCAATCATTAGAAGAAAATGAAAACCAGCCCACGGAATTACTTCGCACCAGCAGTGATGATAAAGTTACATTTTCTTTGGCGACAAAGAAATCAACTAATGAGGTGAACAGTAATTACACTTCTTTTTTAGTAAATTTAATATTGATTAACTCTTCACAGTAACCAATTGATTGATTAATTAGGTATCCATTTAGACAATAAGTCGTTGTTCCTGGATCATTATTAAAGTCTTCTTCGGACATGGTGACGTTGGGATTTTTACATCTTTGAAAGTAGATGACCAATAAGCCAAGTAATGGCTCCGAACGCTTGCTGACAAGTTTCAATGAGTTAATTTTTGATTCAGCATTTTCTTTATTAATACTAAGTTACAGGAACTTGTTGGACCAGTTACGTCAGTTCCTGCCATGTCTTATTCTATATTTGATACTAAAATCAAAAAAGAGACAAAATCTGAACAGGAAATGCTAAACAAACCTAAAAAGCGTCAACACAAGGATATTTTTTCTATTCCTTCAACTTTGAAAATAGAAATAAAAGATGACTGTCAAAGAGGATATGGTATGTTGTAATTAAATTATCTTGTTGTCTTAATCTCATGCACGTGTGTTTAGTTCTTTTTTATATCTTTAGTTGTAATCGATTTGACCCATTACATGAAGGGATTATGGTGATACTGATCGACACAAATATTCGTTTCATTAAAGTACCATTCATTTTTTCGTAGATAAGTTTATATTTTTGTTATATTCTATCCTTATTGAATTCTCTAGATGATATGAGCACTGGAACAAATAAAAATCGAAAGCAGGATTTGAAGTTAAAAAAGAATGCCTTGGATGAAATTATGGAAATGGAAGAACTTCGTAAAGAAAAGTGGAATAGACGAGATAATTGGCTCCATGAAGGGATTATTGTAAAAGTAAGTATTTGTTTTTTTCCTTTGTGGACAAATAGCATATACGTAAAGTTTACATGAAGTCTGACTTCAACACATCATAAATTTGTGAAGTGACAGCATTGGAAGTCAAGTATATATTAGTAGATGAGAAGTTGTGGTTACATCAAATGGTAATGATTTAATAGTGATTAGTATCTCAAGTTTTTTTTCAAGATATCTTCGTATAACATATTCATTTATGGCTGTGCTATTACCTGGTACGGGACTGTACTGGAGATATGGATAATATAAATTTTTATAATAAATTCTTTTCAAATTCTAGATCACTACGAAAAAATTTGGCAATGATTTCTACAAAGCTAAAGGTGTAATAAAACAATTAGTGGACGATTTCACTGCCATTCTGGATGTAAAAGGTCAATTTGTTTGTTTGACTGCTCATTTCTAGCTTTCAATTATTTTGTTCCTGATGACGAGATATAGGACAAGGAATTTTTTTGGTCTACAACTCTGCAATATATTCTGTTTAGTATGACCATTCTTAAATTTTCTGGAATTTTCAACATTATATGCGACTTAATATCTAAAGTTTGTACCGGTCTTTACATTCCTATTGAAAATGAAAATGGTGTGCGAAGTTTCTCACCATTCACGAATTACTTAGCGTGCTGTGATCCGGTCAATTTATTTTTAAATTTTAGTTAGAATAATAATAAATTATTTAATATCATATTAAATTATTAAAATTTCGAAGATTTTTTGTACGGTAAGTGATGATGTGCATTGTATAATCATTTCTATAACAAATCTACCAGTTGATGTAGCAGGTTGATTTAGGATGTTCACTGAGGGTCAACCAAGAGAATTTGGAAACAGTGATACCGGCTGTAGGACGTGCTATGTTGGTCGTTAATGGAGCATATCGTGGAACGAAAGCTGTGTTGCAGGCGATTGAAGAAAAGAAATTTGCTGTAATTTTACGCCTTGATGAGAGTCTCGCTAAAGGAAGAGTTTTATGTTTACCATATGAAGATGCTTGCAAGCTCAAACAATGAAACATTTTGCTTTTATCACTGTGAACATGTTTTTGAAGAGATCTCAAAAGAATTTTGTTGTCTTGGTTGTTTCACTTTCTGTTGCTGTACTATGCGGAATCATGACCCTGGTAGGCAGATGCTATCAGTTTATTGTGGTCGATTTCGCAGCATCTTAAAAATTAGCAACTTTGTGCCTTGGAGATAAACTAATGAATTACCCTCTCTTTTTCTTCGTCAAGAGCGGAAGCTGGTTTACTGTGTATGGCGTTTTTAATGTGTTTCTTTGAAATCAAGATTTGGCGTTTCTTGATTTATATTATAATTCTCATCAACTTTTTCAAATTATTTTGTCTATTGAATGAATTGTATATTTCATTTTTCTCTGGCGTTGAAATTCGTGCAATCCTTTTTGGTCATCTTTAGTTCTGATTTATAGTGAGTCGGTTATGAAATTTTAAGGATTAATGTCAAACAAATATGAATGTGAAAAGGAAGAAGCAAAAGAAGTGCTTCGTACATTCATCTACCACGTACATTCATCCTTTGGGTGTGATAAAATTTGAATTATCGGTTTTCGTTCTGTTTCATTTGCTGCTTATATTTACTGTAGTCATTTTGATCCATTAATTTGATTTATTATATACTGGTGCTGATTGCGCCTGATAATTGTCCCTTTTTCTCTTTCGTTTTAATTCATAAATGTTCATAATTTCTTTTTGTTGTTAGATAATTCTTCAAGTTATTCTTGAATGACCAAACCTTATTGATATTCTTCTTCAAATAGTCGATTTTTTTTTCAATGGTAATATTGGTATATGAATCGTTGAAGCATGTTTATAAACATGTTTTAGAATTTATATTAAATTTATGTCCAAATCTTTTATAGAATATGAATCAATCAACTCGGTACTATAGTCGCTGTAGCACTAAAATATAACAGGCGATATCTTCGAAAGTTCATAGTTTTAGACTAGAAAAGGTTAATCGTGATTTGTTAGCTATAGTTAGGAGATTTGTGTGATTGTCTCAAGTTGGTGGATAGTAGGCTGGTTTACAAATAGCATCATTAGTAAATTTTCAAAAAGTGAAAATATGCGGTGCTTGACGCATACTCTGTCGCTGCCAAATTACGCTCTAATTGATTGATCCAAAATTTTATGAAATGTTGTTCATTTTGAGAATTGCTTTGAGAGCATTTTTATTAAGGGAAGTGCTCGTTGCGATTAATTGTATGACTGGATAAATGTTATTTAGAACCTTGAATGCTGCTTGGAAATGCCGTCGAAGAAGGGTAACTTTAAGGACACTGCTGAGAGTAGTGCATCGAAAAGAGGTAACATGGGAAAGAAGGAGTCCAAAGGTGGTAATGCGGTCAAAGTCAGGCATATTTTGTGCGAAAAACAAGTAATTTTTTCCTTATTAGAACCTTTGCTGTCTTTTTAGGAGTGGGTGGTGCCACTGATTTTCCATGGATGTTGTAATGTTTTTGTTTTTCTGGTGGATATATTTATTGTGTTTAATCAGCATAATATTAGCGTGTGAAAACTTTACTGCAGGGGAAAGCAATGGAAGCCATTGAGAAATTGAAATCTGGTTTGAAATTCAACGAAGTGGCTGCAAAATACAGTGAAGATAAGGCTAAATTTGGGGTAATACGTTTATTATCTCTTATTTAACTTTCGAATTTGAAAAATGGCGACCTCATTATGTTGATGATAATGACAGGAGTTATTATTCCAGCTCAGCTTTTTATTCTTTGACAAACAGTTATTAATGGATGGGTCGAGAAAATATTACATGGCAGAACACTCGCAACGCTTGCTGCGTTATAATTGCTTTTAGTCTTTTTGATATCGATGATTTATACAAATTCAGGGTGATCTCGGTTGGATGATTCGTGGATCAACTGTAGCTGCATTCCAGGATGCCGCATTTGCTCTTCCGAATAGTACCGTTGATAAACCTGTGTATACTGATCCACCAGTGAAAACGAAATTCGGTTATCATATTATCATGGTTGAAGCTAAGAAGTGATCAAATTTTTTTTTCCTTTTTTGTTGCTTTCATAAATTATGATTTTTTGTTTAAAAGTACAGAATTTTTCATGCAAATCATGCGCACGCTACAACTATAAGAAATGGTCAGTATTTAGTTCTCGGGTACCTTTAAAACTAAAACTAAAACTGAGCTTTGAAGAAGAAAAGGGTCTGTATGCTGGAAGCTTGTCATTCATCGATCTTTTATGACCAGCTTATGATTATCATCGTGATTCCGGAAGTTTTTGAATAAGCCTTGGCAGATTTAGAAATGGGCACATTATAGAAATTGCTTGGAGACGGTGGCACATTTTCATATTTGTTGTCACTGTATTTTGAAACTTGTAGAACCAGTGGTTGATATATCATATTAAAATTTTACATATTATGTTTATGGAATTTTCAGAAAGCATTTAGTTATAAGAAAAAGTACTGACTGGGAAAGAAAACACTAAACATATACCTATAATTTGTACACATTGTTCGATGTAATGATCCAGTACAGTGATATATGATCTCAATAACAAACTAAAGGCGTAGATGTTGGTAAACTGATTCTTTCTTTCATAGCTACCGACTTTTCCTCTCCCGTCCAAATTTTCACTAATGGATCCATTCGATCGATCATACATATTCTTTTTGCTTCCATTTTTCCTTTCCACAACAAATTTGTTAGTTTTTTTGAAGTACCATTAGTCTCAGAATGATACATAAATCAAATATGATGCAATTATTATCGGGCAATCAACATCCATGCTGTGATGTTGTAACAAATTTTTTGAAGTTATAGATTGGGAAGATTGTTTCAGTCGGGCATTTAAACAACTGCTTACAATGAAATTTAGTTCCATATATAATTAAGAGGTTTTTTCGAAGCTTCAATCAAAATCGCAATTTAAGAGGCTGGAAAATTAATGTGATTTTGACGATTAGAACGGTTGTATGATAAATACACTGAAGTTCTGCAGTGTATCCTCTCATTATGAGTTCGTTTCTTCATTTCATGAGTGACTTACACCTCTGCTGCATCTAACTAGGTTCCATAATAGATATTCCTATGAGCTCATCGAAATGATTACGAAGATGTACGGTACCACCTCAAAGTAATTGCTTTTATTTGATGTAGTTACTTTATACCCATTTTTATTGATTGAGTAAATAGAGTAGAAAGAATTGTTTGCCAATGCAAGTTTGAGAGGTTTACCGAAGAAGAAGCTAATGAAGTTGGAATAAGTTCAAGAGGTGTCTTTGCTCCTCTAATTTTTCCTTTTTTATTATTGCATTGATGTCAGCCATTTATTTAATTTCGTTTATCTTGCAGTAAACGAGATCTTTTCCAGAGCTATACACCCAAAACATAATAAATCGTTAATACCCAATTGTGGTTGCCATATTATCTGTCAGTTAGACCCAATATTCATGGATACGTCGTTTATTCATTGAGACAGATATGAAACAGCTTCAATCAATCACTGTAAGTTTGTTGATCCTTTATTTTTTCTTCTTGCTCAAGTATGGCAACTAGAAATCGTGAAAAGATTTTTATCAGGTTATTGACAAAGAAGTGGTAGAAATTTCAATCTTATCGAATTTGAATTTGTAATTTAAAATAGTTGCAAGATGAGAAAAAGGTAGCCGATTTTAACCCATGTGTTACGTAAAAAATTCCTGCTTTATCGTCATGAATTGTTCCCGTGCTAGTTTCCAAAAATTCTCCATATCCATCATTTATTATTGAGCACTGAAAAAAGCTGTCATCAACCGATAGATTTAACGTGTAGTCCTATATTTACATACGCAGTAAGGTAATTTGGACAGAAAGACTTTATTTCAATTCTTTATGTGAGTTATATTGATAATCGTTAGATGACAAAGTTGGTCGGTGTGCCTTCTTTCCAGAATATTATTTGATCTTTCACTACATTACTTCATTGATACTTCTCTATTTGCTTCCAATTACATTAATTAGAAGAGAGGGTTGGTTAACCACCTGATATGAGCTATCTCTTTCTTTCTTCTTTCAATTTTTACTTTTAATGATATTTCTAATGCATTTATCGATATCACCTAACTGAGATTGTTTTATGACATTACTGATTGATTTGTGTATGGAATAAGTAATAGAAGATGCTATAGCTGCTCTTCTTCAACCCGTTAACATTTCAGTAACGTGGAGAAGTGATCATGCGTGGGATGATCACGGAAAAGTTAACCAAATGCTAACTATTAATTATCTTCTATGTTTAAATCTTGTATGGAAATAAATTAATTAGCAGTGATCAGCCACTCTCATTATGTTCAAATGGGATATGTTTGATATAAATGGGATATATTTGATATGAATCGATTTAGACAACAATTCCGAATTGTGAAGGCCAAAAATATACATTTTGTACTTTGGTGTGTGAAAAAATAAAATTACTCATACTACTTATTAAGTAAATAAATAAAGAGGAGCGATGAAGGAAGTAAAAATTTTGGATAATTAAGATACTTCACGAAAAGGTTGTTGAGAGTTTTCTGTTCTAATCAAATTTGCTTTTAATTTAAGGGACCGGATCACGGCAACAGTATTTGATAAATTAATTGTTTGTCATCACTTATGATGTATTTATTTGATCGCACTAAAGAACATGGTAATTTTTATTCCGGAAGTTCTGAATATTAATACCCTTTTCTACTGGAATGTTACTAACACCAGATGACATTGCATTAGGCCTGTCCCTAGGAACTTTTTCTATCATTATAAATCTGTCACATCAGGTATTTTTCTTTTCACTGATAATTTTTGGCATATTTACAATTCATGCGATCAACTAGCATTTAGACGTCTTCATCACACGTAAGGCATTTAGCTACTCAAAAGCTATTTAATTTTACAAATGATTAAGTTTCATCTGCCAAATTTGGTATTTTTCAGATCGAAATATGCGATTTCAACTTTGAATTTAAATTGAGCTCATTGATATTCCAGGCTCCAACATCAATCTTTGGAAATTTTACAGTAATCGACATAATTGTTAGGCAACGCCAAGCAGCTACTACTAAACAGGTTTGTTATCATTGCTCTTTTTAATTGATTTCTCTTAGCTGTATATTGGAAGCTTCATTTGATTGGATCTTGTTCAATTTATCTCGATCTCATCCATTTCAATTCGACAAATAAAATTTTAATTTTAAGCGAGCCTATCGTTTGTATTTGGCGCAAAAGAAATTGAAAAAATTACGCTTAGCAGCTGATAAGAAAATGGAGGCAGCTTGCATAATACAGGTAATATAACAATCTAAGCAAAATGACCACTACGGGACTAAAGCACAGTTCAGTGATATTTTTCATTTTCTTATAAACTTCTTTCTCCTTGTATGGTTTACTGTTAGAATCAAGGACTTTAGTTACCAAGTTCATTTTCAAAATAGTTAGAAGGAAAGGAAAAAACTATACGTATTTTACGTTTAGAAAAGGTTTAAAGACAGAGCTTATAGAACACTGATTTCTGTATTATTAAGATAAATTTTTAGTCCTAATAGTACAACTTTCATAAAATTAACTATTGCGTGCTATCTTATCTTCAATATACTTCCACAATTATAATGTATTTTTTCCATGATAACTAAAATCTTTTCAGTGATATTACCGTGGTTACATTGGTTGTAAGAAGCGACAGAGATATCAATGAGCAGTAGGTGGCACCTATTCTAGCAGCAACAAAGTAACAGAGGGGAAAAATTCTAAATAAATTCTTGGAAGTTCGACAAGTATCTATAAAACGAAGTTCGCTCCGAAGTTATGGGCCTGCATGACCTCTCTCTCTCCTTTCTTTTCTTGTTTGCTGAGGGAAACCATGAATACTTTAATTTCTTGCTTTAAATTTAATTCCAGAGTCGAGATCGTGGTTACTTGACACGAATACACTATCAGAATATGCGTCAAAACTTTATGTAAAATAATATTATATATATATATATATATATATTAAAATCTTTTTTCTTTCACATCTAAAGGAAGTTTCATGTTCGCCTTCTCCATCCCGATCCAAGTCGAACAACTGGATTTTGTATAAGTCAAAAATAAAACAAAAACATAGTTTTAAAAAAGGAAAAGTGCTATTCCAAATCCTGCAAGGCCCTAATTTAAACCTCAATACTTCATAAAACAAGAAATATCTACGCCGATAAGACACCAGCTGCTGATCAGTCAACCCCTAATAATTTCAATTCAATATCCCAATCTTTGATATCCTCTACAATCCGTCTATTTGTGCAAGCTTCTAAACAGCTGTAAGATGATTACTCGCCATTATTATTTAATAAAATGTATTTATTGCATAATAACTGAGAAAAAAATGAAACGGGAAGAGATGAAGAGATATAACTATAAAAAACTCAAATTGCAATAATAGCAATCAATTTGTAAAAAAAATAAATGCAAAAGGAAACTTTGTCTCAGTTTCTCGTACGTAACCCAAATACTGCTTGACAAATAGTGAATGTAAAAAGTTACATGAGTAATTTGCATAAATTGTTTAGAATACGGATAGAATTAGCATCATTTCAATGATTACAAATAAACTATATAGGAAGCACGACCAAACACATGCTTATCATACCATTCAGATAAATCCTCATTCCTCTTTAAGCCTCGAAGACTCCAGTGAAATGAATGTTGGAAGTATGATATACACGCGCATCATTATGCAATAAATCTTCCAATAGGACCTATACGAGATTTTATTGAGACCAAAAATCAATGGTCATAATTTAAAATTAGAACAATTATCTCGGAGAACGTAATAAAATAATTTTTAAAAATAAATGGCTGAAGATTTCGGATCATGTTTCGACATTTCAATTACACAGATTTAAACCATACAAAAATAATATAGTAAATGAGAGGTACTTAAGATTTCATTACATTTGTGGATGCATGCCAATAAAAGAAGCATAAAAATGCTGATGATTTACAGATGAAACAAGCGAAAAAAATGAATAAGAGAAAAATAACACTAAAGAAATAAACCCACTTCTATGCGTTGGTAATGAATATCTAAGCAGGACTTCAGCGAAAATATACATATTGCAGAATAAACTGCATTTGCAACATATAACATCCTCCGTCCTATAAACAGCTTTCAAATATTAACAAACAGAAATTTAAATAATTTACGATAAGCTATAATGAGCAGCATTTTTCAACCAAAAATTCACCACAAGTTTAAAGTATTGATGATTTCGTTCTTCCAAATCCATATCGTTTCTATTCACAGAACTCGATGTGTTACCTAGAACTTCATCACGTATAGAAATCGTTTTCAGGCATGAAAGCCATTTTTTGCTAATCTATAATTGGATCACAATATCCAAAATTGTTATTGCCCGTCCATTATTGAAGAACAATAAAATTTCAGATGATGTGTTTCAGACTTCACATTGAACTCTCCAGAATACTAGGAAACTCCTTATTTTACTTCCTTAAATATTGGAGAGTGAATTGATAAATGTAGTAATTTATAATAATGTGGTAAACAAACAGTTTACTGCATAAGCAATCTTAACAGAATATAATCTTGAATATAATATAATAGTATATATTTCATTCTTTTTTACTCTCCTTGTCTTCAGCAGCACTATATCGCATAATTTTAAAGAAGAAAGAGGATGTTTAATTAAGTTGAAATTTTGAAAAAAATATATTAGTAACATACACTTCACCGTCGTCATCATCTTGAGCCAATTTTAGGTATGGGTTCCTTTTCTGCGGCCTGAACTGATAGCCAGCTATTAGGAAAAATAAAAGTGTTGAGAATTCAACTACGGAATCAGTTATCCAATCATAATTAAACGGTACTACTGCCTGAAATCCTTTTTTGTTCTATCATAACGTACAATCAAAGTTCTTTCTTCTTTTAAGGGAATGTATTATAGCATCTTTCCAGTAATTTAAAAGACTAGATTTAATATTCCATTTCAGAATGAGTACGAAATTAATATTATGTCACAAAATGTATTCCTATACAAAATACAAAAGGAATGCTACTCATTATCTTTTCTATGAGTTTTCCAAATTTTTAGTAGAAACCAACTTCATATTGAATCAAGAAAGAGTTCTGATGATTTCGAAAATGTTATGAACATTGTAGATAGAAAAACATTTGAAAATTAAGAAATATTACTTCTGATGAAGAAATGAGCAGGAATATAAAATGCTAACCTCAATTACGAACTTAATTACACGAGTCAGGTAAATATAACCAATTATAGCCAAATAAAAATGTCTAAATAATTTCAATTTTTCTAAATTAAAAGCTGTCTTTCCATCGCTTCGAGCACCTTCCTGTAGATGACGCATCGACCTGAAAACACATATATTAATCTGAACATCATATAGACAAAATGTATTGTGTTGCAAGCTGAAGAAGCATTTTAATTTAATTTAGTCCAGCTACTCTAATTGCAATCACTTCTATCAAATTTAGCTCAAACTGACTAAAATCGACCCCGCTTCATTCATTTAGGTTTTCCCAGCACAACTTAGTTTGATTCTTCAATTATACTTTATGAAGTATGTCTGAAGAAACCAATTGAATTGTACTGGTATTAAATGGATTTCTAATATCCTCAATTCCTTCTTTCAGTGCAAGCGATACATAAAACAAGATGTAATGACAAATAATTCATACCAAATGACTGGAAGAATTATTGCCAAACAACACACAATATCGAAAAATATAAATACTTGCAACCAGAACCGATAGCCTTGTTCCCCGAATTCACTTTCTTCAATGATAATCATTGCAACATTGTCGATCACCTACAAAAACGAAATCATATAATCTTTAAGAATAAATTTGTTAACAATTAAACTATTCCAAAGAAATCATGAAATTAGCAATATCAGGGCTGATCCTACCTTTCCAAAAAGAACCAGAGATTTATCTCATTCGAATTTAGTTGTCATACAGCAGATCTACAATTCACTTAGAAATGACTAGAAATATATTTAGCAAATTTCGAATTGAAAACGAAACTAATTTCAAATTATCTAATTTAAGCATACTAATAAATTCCCTTTCCTTTTTTTCATTTATCTCAACTTGTGACACTATTCACTTTCTAACTTTGTTATTTCGTATTTTATGACGATTGTTGCGGTCCGATTTTACAGCAAAATGTTAATTTTATGATGTAATGAAATCATACTCCTGCACTTATAATTCTTGTCAATTTCTAACGTTTTTACTTATAAAAGATTATAAACGATATAAACCAGTACAACAGGTTACTCGAGCAACCTAACCTGAAGTGGAAGAACAATTATAAACAATTTTCGATCACGATCAGTCAAAAACTTCTTGAAAAACGTATATCCTGTACCAATCAAAATAATTGTTCCAAATAAGAGCGCACCTTTTAATCTGTAAAAAAAAGAAAAAATGGAACAAATAAATTGATAGAAGACTGCTATCAGTAATTTGAAAGTATCGACAATTCTAATCATTTCTTGCTGACATAACTAGAAATTAAATCAAATTTCCAATAGTACTACAAAACGTTCAAGTAAACCAAATTAGAGAACATAGAGTAGAAAAAGATACAGATGTGTAATATAATAAATGATAGCCCAAATTTCGCGCTGATGTCCATATACTGAGACGAAATAATAATTGATACCGTGGAAAAACAAAGATAACGATTTTAGGATGACCAATGCTGTCATTAAATGATGCACTTTGTAAATCGTACCAGAACTAAAATGGAGGAAAAAGTTACAATCGTATTATTCAACATTCAAATCTATTTATGATCGAGACAATTGAAGCATGTATCACCTTGAATGGCAGATATTCCGTATCCATAAACAAGCGGCAATTGTAAACATTGCCGCCATATATAAGTACAACTTCGGTTTTGCTATGTCACCAGCAGAAAGATATGATTCCGGATTACGCTCGAAAATGTCAACCTTCAATTTTTTAAATACATGACATTGAACTCAAACGTAGACTGCGTACAATAACTCTATAAAGGGTCAGGTAGAAGAACATATGTGGAAGGGTGAGTGTTTCACTGCTAACTAACGCGTAAACACTGACTGATCAAATGAGTTTACTGATATCTAAATGTCCCTAAACTAAATTAGATTGTTTCCCGAAAAATATGATACATTGAAAACAATTGGATTGTTTCAAATAGTTTTACTGACATCTGAATATCATTTTAAGTTTCTTTCTCATTGAATTCAGCGACGACAAAACATTAAAAGAAAAAAATAACAAACAGTGAAATGCACAGCGACTTGGTTACTATAACCATGTGCTCGGTAATTGAAACAGTTGTGATAAATGAAACTATAACTGCCTTGTTGTCCTTCCTCGAACCGTATTGCAACCTTAAATTCTCTGCTCACATTTCAAATCATCACAGCTGACATAAATCAATAAATTCTAGCACTCGCTTCCAAATCAAGAAACATTACGGCCCAGTTTTCAATCACTAGTGAATGCCGAATTACCAACCGAAGTGGAATATTGATCGCCAGAAAGATTTAAAGGAAGATAGTCTTTATATGGTATTCTTGTGGCAGTCACTGGAAATAACATGTTGTGTAATTTATCGAAAAAATCTGATCCATTTGGTGAATCCTACAAATCACTCATAATGAACGGAAATGAAAAACCAAAAAAAAAACAGCTTTCAAATACTATAATTTATATTAAATGTGTTTTGCTTTTAGAATTCTTTGAAATCCAACATAAAAAAGAAAACGAACTTTGACAGATGGCTTGGCGTTGTCCCTGGGTGGTGCCTCTAACGATGTAAGTTCTGTTTTATCTGGACAACTGCAATGCTGCACTTGGAAAAATATTTAATTTTGAACCAACACTTTTCATAAATAATTTAATTACTTTAATTATTACCCTTCTTTCTTGGTTCAATATCAAATGAGCTATAAAATATATTACTTTAATCATTGTCTATCTATCAACAATCCCTTTATATGAAAAATGTTATGACCAAAACTTCCAGGTAAAAAATAAATAGAAAACTTGTATTCCATTAAACAGCATACTCCAAATATAATGACAAGAAAAAAATTTAGCAACCTTTCTAAATTTTTACAGAGCCGTAAACCGTAGCCTGATCCTGTACGTATGACTTTTAAACTGTTCTCGGTAAAGTTGAAGACAAAGAAGAGTGCATCAAAACCTAGAATGACTTACCAGTAATTCTTCACATTATATCCATTGTATTTTGTATTTAATTTTGAACCAACAACTTTTTAATAAATAATTTGATTACTGGAAACATGAGACTTTAATTATTATCCTCCTTTTCTGGTGCACATCAAATGGGCTATACTACTATACTACTTTAATTATTGCCTATCTATCATTAAACAGAAGAAACTTCATTGTATTTTTCATTGAATTTTTTAAGTTGTATTTAAAATGTATTTTGTCAAAAAAACAAAAAAAATTTGCGGTCTACATGTGATTTTAATGAAGTGCATGATTTTAATGAAAAATGAACGCTAAAAAATTTAGAAAAGTATCACCTTGGTCAAACTGTGATAATTGACATACATGTGGTTTTGATCTAACGCCATTCAGTATGTTCTTGCCTCGTGAAAATGTAAAACCAATGACACCCTGCAGTAAATGCAGAGTTCAGAACCGTTGCATATTAAGTAATTTAGGTAAATATAAATCGCAAATCGCTAGACAAAATTATTTACATCTAAAAAATAATTTACCCTACTTGCCCCTCGCATACTAACTCTTTCATAATTTTTTCCATTTTTTCTCATCCTGACGTTTATTCCTTTTTTTTCCCATAAAATCCTCTTCGACGTAAATAAGAATAATAGTTAATTAAAATAGGTCAAGAATAAAGATAAAGATAAAACGGACGAATCGATCAGTGTTACGCTGTTCTCGCGTCACATCGGGTGAAACCAATTCCACCGGAACCGTGAAATTATATAGCTTTAGGATAAATATACCGCCTTTGTTGTATCCAAATGTTGTCAGTAAGATATTCCTGCGTGCATCATTCTGTAACAAAACCGGAAATAAAGATATTTCTTCTCTTCAGCTACATTAAATTTTTGCAAAAAAGTGATAAAAAACTATTATTTGTTGTACTGTTTTCTCTGTTTCTCTATTGTTTATTTACTGAATCGTTTGCTTGTAAGAAAACATTCCGTCTTTATAGTTTAGTTCCCAAAGAAAAGTTTATTACTCAGATGCAAGGAACAATTTCATTGAAAAACATATTAATATATAGGTAATGATAAAGCATTTACTAGATGGTAATTAACATTCTTTCCGTCTTTTATTTTTTGACAAGAAATGGAACGGTAGAAGCAGCAACGAAACGATTATTTTTTTTGAATTCAATTACTTTCTAATCGATTTATAATTTATCAGTTGCTATAAACTCTAGAGAGAAAAGTTCAGTGTTAATTAACAAATACCAATTTTAATCTTTTTTGATTATCTTTCTTGCACGTGTTAGCAGCACGTCTTTCAATAAATGAAGAAAAAATTTGCTACTGCATCACAACACAATCTACGATGCATTAAAATGTCTGATAAATTCACCCCCTCTTATAGTAAAAGTGAAAGCAAACGTACTCTTAAAGCAAGATGATGAATTTTACATTGAACAACAGCGACAGGTATAATTAGTCCAATAAGGACAACAACTGCTAACCTTTTCATGTCTATTCTACACTCTGAAATGATTCAACCGTAACAGCAAGTCAAAAATCATTGATGACAACAAAATGAAACAGTAAATGAAGGAGTACAACTAATTTGAGTAGAAGAGCGATAATTGAGAGCCAGATTTCTTTAATGCCAGCTGAGCAAGTATTCTTCTCAAGCAACATCCGCTTTCAGAGGACATTCGCCCTCAGAAAAGCAAAACCGTATACACACCAAACACATACGGCATATGTCATATGCGGTCCGTCCAACGCAATCGAAACCGGTGTCTAAAGCAATTTACCCCCAGGAGTTTTACTGCGGACTTAAGAGTAAGAGTTCCTGAAAATTCTTAACTTTTACATTTCCTTCCAAAACTTAGGAATCCACAGTTCAAGAAAAAAGACCATCATTATTAAATGCTATCGGTGTAATCCTTCAATATGTCTTCCATTACCTTCGACGATTATGTTCCGAAAGTTGATACATGGATGAAGCTCTGAGGCAGTTTTTCCAATGAAATCCACGAGACCTCTCTCCTTTACAACTTTCTCATACATTTTATCCTTGAGTAATCAACAAGTTTAACAGTGTCTATCAACAACTTCAATTCTAAAAATTAATAAAGTCGCTGAACAATGTCGAAATGTATGAAATAATGGTTTTTCCCGTTTTCACTCGACCTGTCAAACAGTTACTGGGGTAGTTTATGAGAGATTTTGCCTCTAATTTAGAATAAATTTGCAATGCATGCTATTCTACCAATCTCTTTCACTCGTAACAACGAATACAACACGCAGAATAGCTTTTGCCATGAAAAATGTATATCACCACAAAATGAATAAGTAGAAGTTTTCTCACTTTCGATCATAAAATGCCCTTGTAAGAAAAATGCTGTATATTTTATTTTATAACCGTTAACATGTTAGTCCAATAATTGATTGATCAATTAAAAGTAATGATTTCACGGCAGGACATTACGTGATTTTTAAATAACGTCTTTACAAGGATACACATGTACGATCCTAGCTAGATACATTTCATTATATGCGTGCATGGTATTGAGGAAATTAAAATACACAGAAAACCGAATAAATAGAAATGATAAAATGCAAAAGTGTGAGAAATTGTAATGTTGTGCTCTTTATATGGTTATAATGCAAAGGTTCCATTATCAAAAAAAGAACAACCATAATGAGAACGCAATGCTAACTATACAACAACGTGAGATAAACATTCATGGCAGCATTGGTGAATTCAGCAAAACGCATATTTGCATTTAAAAAGTTTCCTTTCAAGGCTTCCCAAATTCTGCAAAACATCAAAAAAAAAGCATTATTAATAGATGCGCAAAACCATTATTTATATTACTTATGACAGATGAGAGACGTTTTATGTATGGAAAACCGTAGCGTTTAAGCAACTTGTTTGAGAATACCACAATGTACTAATGTGAAGGGAATTCGCAATTTTGTCGAATCAGTCTGGAGAGTCGAGAAACACAGAATATAATATAAACACTAGTGTAGACTGACAAAAAGAAACATCGCAAATATGAAAAAGACTGTGTTGCAAAACGTAATTGTGAGAATCTAAGTTTTTCGTCATTAGTTCTTACATTAATAAGAAATACAACTCATTTTAATTTATTCAATTTTTTCTATGTTCCTTTTTGTCTTTTTGTAATCATAAAATCACATTCAATGAGAGAATTACTTCTTAAGCTAATATTCCCGATATAGAATATTTCTGACATGCGAACATGGATATTCAAAAAATTAAGTTCTAGCTCCGTATATCATCTTCTAGAAGCACTTGTTTGCTGTTGGATTGGACTGATGGATCGCCTCTGCAACATCATTTTGTTTCTCTCATTTTCCAGATCTCGTTCTTTCAAACTGTCGCTGATTCTCTTCTTTAATTCTGTTGGAAAACGATCGTAGCAACGTTTACATGTTGGTTTCATATCAAATTCATAAAATTTTGTCCTGAAATTTTATAAAGTGCACTTTAAAACGAAAGAAATTAATCACAGCAGAAAAGAAGTCGTTTCCTTCCTACTGAAAACCATATTTTGTTTTGAAAATGAAAATACACACAGGATTGGATCTGATGGAAACTATAAGAGTTCACTGATCAGAAGGATCTCTCCATTTCTTGCTATTTTAATAAAAAAAAACAATCACAACTGGTATCCTTATAACTTAAAACAATCACAACTGGTATCCTTATAACACTTCATATCAATAAAAGGATAAATCAGATTATGCAAAAATAAAGTGCAAACTGGAGTCACTGATGTGAAACTGGACTTCAGATTTTTATTATGCATAAAATGTATCACAGGATTTTTTCAATTAAACAAAATTTAAAATATTAAAATATGCAGAAAGACACTATAAAATTCATCTTTTAAAAGCCATAAAAACAAAAAACATACTTGTGATCCATTCTTTTATCGCAAAGACTGCAACCAAAACAGTCAACACACCAGGATTTGTTAAGAGCTTGGAATACTTCACCACTACATACTTTACCACATTTGAAGCATACATTGCCGTACAGCTAAATTTTAGAGTTACGCAAATTTTTAATAAATTGATACCAGAAACATTATGTATCGCAACTATTACTGTTTGATAAATGATCTGTAATGCAGTTTTATCTTTTTTCACTGATACGTTACGCTGGTGAACGTACTGAAATATAGGAAAGCTTTTTTTTCCTTACATTCATCAATAGGATATTCGGACAATAATCCGATACCAAAATGAGATCTTTAGAAATCAAACAAAATGGATAAACAAAATTACATAAAGTGTAAGAAAAATTAGTCCGGAAGGTCAAAAATCAGCTCATGTCACCCTTTCTTACTGTGCAAGTTGTGAGCTTTTCGATAAACAATTAATGAATATTGAGAAATCAACCTTATGATAATGCAGCTCGCAGTAAGCTAATCCTTTCTTTTCGTAATGACGATGACCAAGAAACGGTTTTTCACAAACAGCACAAACAAAGTGCTGCAAATTTTTTAGTCGTCTTTGTTTTCTCATTTTTTTAATTATTACTTACGAAAACGCAGTTTGTGTTATTTGAATTATTATTACTTACGCGTGGTACTCAAACACACTCCAACTATGACTATGGAATAAGAGTAAAATAATGAAAACGAATCCAGAAAAACGATTATAACTATAGTAAAAATCCAATAATAATTCAAACCTCAACGTGCCAATTTTTGCCTAGTGCAGTAACTACACGTTCCTCAATCGGTCTATGACATGCACCACATATTGGTATACCCATTGTATCATGGCATCGCAAACAATATAATTCTCCACCTACTTCACGTGAATTCGTATCTAATTCCACACTAAAAGATGTGGAAAACATACTAAAATTTCAATTTTAAATCTTCTTATATTACTCCAGTCACTTTGTTATCAAGCATATTTCTTATTCGAAACATTATCTGACAATATTAACTCTCATGTCCTCATTTCTTTTCCAATTATTTAAACTCCAGATGAAACAAATTAATTCTTGTTACTTGATTTAAAAATTACCCGCAACGTTTGCATTTAAAATGATATGGATGGAAGCTGTCGCCATGATATTTAATATGGCCACCATCTTCAATAATGCCTTTGCATTTATGACATACATAACGACCACGTCCAGCTTCTTTTTCTCTTTCATTACACTCACGACAAAGCGCTCTGAAATATATAATAGCAAAGTAGATTTTCCTTAATGGTAAAAAATTTTTGTCCCTTTGTTGCTTCGCGCTAATTACCATAAGATATTTGAAATAATGCGAGGATTCACTACAAGCATTGTTTTACAAGTATCATTTCCATTAAAACCTTTATAATTTGAGTTAGAGGTTGAATTCAAACATACCTCCCGCAATTTCTCAAGAATCCGATATCAGCAAGTTCTTTACTGCATAATTCGCATCGGAAACATTGAGGATGCCAATTTGCGTTCATTGCTTTTATTACTCGTCCCACAATAAATTCATCTAAAGAGAATAAATAAATATTAGTTTTCTTAATGTTTCACATGTGCATTTTCTATTCGGAATTCGTAAATACTTCACGATGTCCATTTCTTTTAAGTTCCACTTCTCGTCGAATACAATAAATAAGGATAAGAAAAAAAAAAGAACTTTCTTAATATATGAGAATACAAGAAAGAAACCCAACATTCCAAACTAATATATCAATTTTTTTTGCATCAAACAATACAGAAAGAAGACGGTAATAAAAAATAAATAGGAAACATACTGCATTTATTGCAGCATGGCGCATATAGCACATGAAAGTCATGCTCACAATATTTTCGCCCGTCAAATTCGAAATATATGCCATCCGGAAATGGCTCGAAACACTGAGAACAACTGTAATATGTTTATGCTACAGCATAAGAAATAGATTGTGGTAGTAATATGAAAAAAAAACAAATAAAATATTGCCAGCAACTTAATATATTGGTAACGCTACCTCTTTTTTTAATACCTATCAATTTTATTGAAGTTTTGTGAGCCAAAATTGAGCAGGAGCTTCTCAGAATACTATGAAGAATCCTCTTAGAGGATGAATATTTTCTAATAGTTTGCGTTACCGACGAATATCTGAGAATGAAACCAACAATGTAAGAAACAATGTTTTTTAGCTTCTACCTATCCCATTTACAGTAAAACTTGATCAGCACGTGAGTTAAATTTATTTCTGTAATAACTTGGAGTATAAAAAGCAAAATCTGTTGCAAGTTTTTCTTGCTCTATTTTTGTAGCTGAAATTATGAAGGAGATTCAGGGCACAAGCTATCAAATAAAAATTAGTCAGGATAAATACACTATGACAGTCAAAGTATCAGTCATGAAGATCCGAGATCCCTAAAGAAGCAGGATTGACATAAAAGCTTCCACTCGAGCTTCAAATGAAAACAAGTGTAACCACTTTGCTTAAAGGAAAGACTACTTAACAAAATTCTAGGTTATTTAAAAATTTTTGCAAAACAAAAACTGGTGCATAAAAAATAATGATCAAAACTTACACAAAGCAATCAGAATGCCATACTTGTCCGGAAGAATTTACAATCTGCTCATTCAAGTCAAAGCCATCATGACATCGCACACACGTCAAACTCTCGAAACCAGAGCTCAAATCACCGTTGATCACACCATCCATTCCACCACAGACCATTAATGACACTTTTCCGGACACAATTATTTTCACCGAAAAGTCTTCGTTGATTTGTACCAATCACAGCCTCGTTCAAATAAGTCTTCGTTGATTTGTACCAATCACAGCCTCGTTCAAATAAGTATCCTTAATATAACTGCTATTCCATAGTAACTTTAAGGAGGCTCATCTTTAAGAAGTCTTGGAAATTGGAACGCAAAAGCGAAATCTTAAAACTTGGAAAAATACGAAATCAAACTATCATTTGATAACAAACAAAAATTCAACAGTAGCTAAAAGCTTCACTTCGCATCTAATATGCTCCAGGAAAAAAATATAACCGCAATTACTAATTCCAGTAACAAAATATT